CATCTTTATAATTTTCTCACCCAATTGCTTTCCTAAGATCATGTCTTTTCACTTTAGATATCTAAAATGTAATTATTTACTAAATACTTGCCTTAGCACTGACCTCTGTGGTTACTCTGTTGAAAATCTGGCTGTAATTTGACACAGCATTAACTACTTCTGATTACTTATCTGGTAGTGGGTGATAATAACCACCTTTCAAGAAAGGCAGACAGTTCAAACACAATCTGACAAAATTACGATGCAGCTACATCAGTTCTAAAAACATAGGAAACAATGTGAGCAGAGTTGATGTTTCTGCCTAGGATTGGTGTTCTTTAGACCACAGACAGCACAAACAAATGTAGGCGGAAACAATATAGCTGCACACACTGCAGACAGCATTACCTGCCAAATTTGGCCACAGTTTAAAATACATAACTTTTCAGTGACAAGTAGAGCTGAAATTACATAAACGGCAGAAATTACGAAGATATGAGCCTATGAGTTTTATGGGTTTCAAGATTTTATGCAATCGGTATGCTGACATCTGTAACACCATTTTATTCCCAAAATGAAGATGCCAGAAACATAAAAGATTAACAACACTTGATGACTTTTGTTCTGATTTTGAAATAAACTAAGTTTACTTCTTTGGAATAACCATTCATGAGCCACATTTTTATTCAGGTCATTAAGACAACTATAATCATCTCCTTAAAAGGAAACGTTTCATTAAGAATGCAAAATGGGGAAATGGAAATATCAAGGGGAACGCTATAAAAAGTATATGATTGTTGAACCACTAAGCTGTACACCCGAAACCAATTAATAATAATAATAGTTAATAAATAAGTGGGGGGAAAGCAGGAGCTGCAGCCCATTTTGAAAACCAATACCTGTTTTTTATTTTTTAAATATATTTTTATTGATTTCAGAGGAGGGAGGGAGATACAGAAATATCAGTGATGAGGATCATTGATTGGCAGCCTTCTGCACGCCCCACACTGAGGATTGAGCCCGCAACCTTGGGTATGTGCCTTGAATCGAACTATGACCTCCTAGTTCATAGGTCAAAGCTCAATCATTGAGCTACAGCAGCCAGGCTAAATATCTAAGGTTTTTTAAATGAAAACATCCTTAATGGTTTTATCTTAAGTTTGAGCAATAAGAATTTTAAAAAGCTGAAAATGAAAAATAGCTGGATATTCTGGTAACTTCCATATTAGTAGGTAATGGCACTACTTACATTCTTAATCTT